GTCACAAATTAATTAAATTTTCATCAAAAAAATATAAGTTTTTTAGTGTAAGTGCCAAAAAGACATATTTTTCGTCAAATTCGGGGGTGTGGACGATTTTAACTCGCTGTATTTATTATTTAAAATACTGTATTTATAATTTACATAATTTTAAGAATATGGTATAAGAGTTTAAGAGATATATATATATACTACCTAATTAAAATACTTTCATTACAATTTACCCACTTTGTTGTTTTTATAAGCCATCAAAATATGAAAATACATTTTTTCTTCAAAAAGTGGCCAATTACATGATACGTAGGACACTCAATAAGTTTTGAGATATACAAAAAGCATTACAGATACTATTAATATTTATTTTACATCTTTTCAAAACATTCTCCATCATGATCTGTACAAAGTTCCATTCGCCTAAACCAACTCTGAAAACTTTTTTGCCAGTCTCGATCTGACAGGTCGGAAATCGCTTCTTCGTAGGCAGCCAAAAAAACTTGCCTTTTATTTATTTTTTTGACTCTTGGGAACAAAAAGAAATCACAAGGGGCTAAGTCAGGGCCACAGCTTGAGTGATTTAGAGTTTTAACACTAGATTCCTCAATAAATGCTTTCGTTCTAAGTGTAATTCATGTGAAGAGGCGTTATCGTGACGCAGCATGATTCCCCGAAGCCCATTCTTTGCTCTTCTCTCCCGCACAGCTTGAAAAGTTTTGGGTAATGCTACTGTAGTATACCATTCAGAGTTCACGACCTACAATTTTCCAGCATTAACGTCGACAAATATCCCCTCCGCGAAAAAAAAAACTAGCCACCATTTTTTTGCTGACGTTGCGAGGTCTTTGCAGTTTTGTCGACAACTGTCCTTCTGAGTAGACCCATACCGATGATTGCCTTTTATTTTCCGGATCTTATTGATAGATTTATGTCTCGTTACCAGTAAAGATTTCTGAAACACGCCTGGATGCCCCGTTTTCAAAACGTAGACGCATTTCATGGCACCAATCCACACAAGACTGTTTTTCGTTTTCGGAGAGCAAACGGGGGGATCCATCGAAAACAAAGCTTCCTCACTCCAAGATATTGATGTAAGATGGTATGAACGCTCCCCGAATCAATGCCTACAATCTTTTCATATATGTGATTCGTGAGTCTTCTCGCACCAACATTTCAGTAGTCCACACATTTTCTGCCGTTACTGCTGTTTGCGGGGCCCCGGTTCTTTGGTCATCTTTAAGGTTAATTTCATCCCTTTCGAATTTAGAAAACCACCAAAAAACTGTTGCATGATGGAGCTGAGTCCCCTAATGCTAATAGTATCCGTTGTAAACTTAATTGTTCGGTTAAACCAAATTTAAAATCATAATACTCGTAGATCATAGCGCGCAAATTTTCACGGTTAAGATCCGTCGTTTTAAATGAAAAGCGCGGGAAACGTTGCAGGAAAATTAATAGAACTTTGTTTTCTTTTTAATATTGATTAATTGGCTTATCGAGTTCTATCTTTAAATAAATTTGCTTTTTAAAAACATAAAACACGGATGCGTTCAATCTCATCAAGCATTTCAAAACTTATTGAGTGACCTACGTAATACCGAAGTAATTCCTGCTTGCCTGTACCAGAAGAACCACTATCACGATTCTGTTCGTGATAGTGGTTCAACAACAACAACAAGGCACTATTTTAGCACTCGTTGAATGACTTAGGCGGAAACTCCCGCGCTTGGCGCCTACAGTGAACTTTATAGTGCACAAAAGAGTGGAGGGGTGGGATTTTTCGATATACCCTCAATTCCAACACGCTACCATCGATATTACGCTCCGTTAGTGTGACACAACCCGCTCACTGTTGTTGACCTTGCCTCTTCTGTATCGCAAAAACTGTTGAGCACATGAAAAAATGTTTCAATTAAAATTTGTCGCAAATTTTATGCTCTACAATTTTTATAATAGATGTTATATAACTGGTGCAATAGAAACCGATATAGTCGCGAAAAGCGTTTTTCTGCCTTTGAACTTGAATAACTTACGGTGCAGACACGAGATTTTATAAGACTTTTGAGACAACTTTTAGAACGCGAAATTGAAGGTATACATGAAAATTCAGTTTATTATCTCTCAGTCCGAGGTTGATTACTAATTTGACTGGACAACCAGGTCAGAGTGTATTTTGATAATATTTGTTAATGTTATGTTTATCTATGATTACAATCATTAGTAGTTATCTAAGATAACCTAATCGGTTACAAAATTTGACTTGCAATACCTATCACCTCATGATGTTTTGGTATGTACAAACGACTGTTAAATATAAGTCATACTTATATTAAAATAGTTTTCAAAGAAGTATGTCTAGTTTTTGTAAACAATGTATTTGGGTGTCTTCTTGATAGTTGTAACCAATTGTTTCAAGTATACAAATCAGTTAACAAAAAGAATGTGATACCCAACTACGACATTCTTACTCAGTACTAAAAGAAGTTCTCGAATAACTGAACGTAATATCAAAGTATGAACATAATAAAATAAAAATAAATAAAAATAAGGTATCGGTATCGGCATCGTAAAATAGTGATAAGCTGTCTTTCTGTTTAAAATATGAAAATATTCAAGCAATAAATAATGCATTAAACTAATTTAAATAAATATATAAATAATAATGTTCTTATTTTTATGCAAGTAGATAGTTGTCACAACAACCTATAATGTCTATTAACAAAATGTTTAGCATAATTTCAGCACAATTTAAAGATATTTGAAATCTGGCGCTTTTTTCATTTAACACAAAAGTAGTATTTTTCAAACAATCGCCATTTTAATTTGCAGAGCAGACTTACCTAGTATAATATCCGGCCTAAGATGTTTTTAAAAGTACGTCCTTGATACGTATTTGTATCCAGCAGGATCTTTTAACTAAGAATGATAAGGTTGATGTTCATAGTTAGTATTGTGAAATGTTTCACTAATGTAATAAAATAATTTTAGCCAAATAATAGTAAACATAAGTAAACAAATCAAAAATGACAACATACATACATATACATAAACACTCACTCACGATCCTGACATACCTCTTTCGCCTCCTTTACATCCATATATCTACGCATACATACTCGTCGGTTAAGGGTCAAAATATCGCCAATTTGATCGATAAACTTTCTTTTAGGGCGTCCCTTCCCGACTCTGCCGTTCACATCTGCCATATAAATTTACTTTGTCACTCTTTCCTCATTCATTAGAACTACATGACCAAACTACCGAAGCATTCCTTTCTTAATCCTGGTCACAACATCATCTTGCATACCACATTTATCTCTTATCACGCAATTTCTCACCCTGTCATTCAGATTCAACCCTAACATACTCCTTAAAGACCGCGTTTCGCGTTCGTACTTCTTCTGCCACGCCTAACTTTCACCACCATACATTTTCTTCTGCCACACCCAACTTTCATTACCATACATTAAAGTAGGGACCAGCACAGTATTATGAATTACCACACGTGCCTTTTTTGACACATTCTGATTCTTCATAATAGAGTGAGTGCCCCATTCTCTCTTCCCATTTACTCGTCGTTCGATATCGTATCGTATCGTATATCTTTATCACTGACGTGTGTGGTGGAGTTGAATCATGACAACATGATTCAACAGAAGTCCATACACGTCAAAGTCATATCACCTACAGATATATTTTGAGCGTATCTTATTTTACTTATTTTATATCCTTCAATTTACTGACGTTTCGTACCCTCTTAAATTATTCTCTTCTCTCCGGTCGTGTCTAATTGCCATTTCATCAGACTATAAGAGTGAGCAAATAGAAAGTGTACCTACCTGCGATTACCCACACAATCATGCACTACAATCTTGTCGTGCGAAGATAGCTTGTCTCTATTAATTCAGGCAGCAGTGGCCGAAATTCGGACTGGAAGACGTTTATTTATTATTATAGTGAGCGGAGGGATAATGCGTATTGCTATTCCAAAAAGTTTTCGCGTCAAAATAAAAAAATCCTTATAGATATACCGTCAACAATATAATGGTATAATAATGTTAATATTAATGTGTGTAAATGAACAATTATATTTATAACATAATTAAATTCTGATAAAGAGATTATTTTTCAAACTCGGGCAAACAATGTACTGTTTTTAATAAGCAGTTAATTACAACACGGCGATGTTTCTTCCGTGAACTCTTCGGATAAAAACTCATTACGAAAATGTCAGATAAGCTACAGACGTCAGATGAGAGATGGCTTCCCTTGTGTCTCTATTATGCAGCATTAAATAACAAATGATAGAGGTATTTTAAAATGTATTAGTAAAATTAAGTATTTTTATTAAAAACTTCACTATCACTTTATCACTACAGCTCGTCACAGTGTCACTGCTGTATATAGGTCTCCCCCATAGATTGTTACAAACTACCCTCCTGTGCCACCTGAATCCGTAAACCACATGTGAGTTTCATCAGGTATCTAGTGGGCTCCGGTGAAAAGTATATGCTGTGTACGACCAAAGACATCGTTTTGTCACCTGTGACGACTAAATGTCATGCCTTATTACCATTTAGAAGAATAGGAAACATTTCGCCACTGACTGGCATTTTGCTGGTATTCTGTCAGAGCGTATTGGTTTCCCTGTTCGAGCCAACCCCATTCGTTTTGCAGCCGCAATTCACCTCCAGCGTGCACTTATTGCGAGCAGCACGCTCTTCGTTTACGGTTGTGTTTCAGTTTAAAGGGTAAAGATTCATTATTATTACAGGCTAAAAAACATTTAATTATAGTCCTGTGGTATATAAACAAATCTGTGGTCTTATTTCTTTAAAATTAGCGCCAGGTGTCCAAGGGCTACAGTATTTTCTTAAACATTAGGACTACCGTTAACAAGGTTAAAACTTTCAATAACCAATGTACACTATTTTACATATGAAAACAAGTTTATTATAATTTTACAAATATGTTATTAATATTAAGTTTATGATAATAACATAATTTCATTTAGTACAGGCAACACAAGAATCATCTAAATCACATCGACATACTCGGAACGGTAAATATCCATCGAACGCCTTATTATACTCGTAGTCCCATAAAACAGAAACAGTACCAGTCACATAAGGTTCATCAGATTCATTCCTAAATTCAAATGATTCACAATAAACATTATCTGCTATAAGGTTCGCAATAATTATGTGCTCCTTTCCGTTGACATTTATCTTACATTTCCAGGGAGTGAACGCCATGTACAAGTATATTTGTGTTATTTTTATAGTAATTTTTTGTCTTTGACCGCTTTTCAAAACTAATTCTTTCTGCCCTTCAACAACTCTCGGGCAAAAATTTGGTCCTGACATAAGAGCGACTACAGATTTTGGATAAATAACATTATCATTTCCACATTCTTGTTTTGTACAGCGACTTTTAGTTACACACCACGTGCACATTGTATTTGTTAAACATGCGGCACAAGAAGATACTCCACTACATTTATCTTCCTGTTTTGCCAAAACACATTCAAAAAATAAAACACATGAGGTGATGAACAATACTCTTTGTAGCATATTAGAATGCATGCTTATTTACGTCCTGAAAAAAAAAATAACAATATACATATATTTCAATTAATGTTACAATTATTTTAATTTAATAAGAAACAACTTACCAATTCTCATGTTGAAACTGAACTGATAATAATAAGAACATAACATTTTATATAAAATATAAGCCAATGGTATAACATAAACATGATTTATGATTAAATTATTGCGAAGATCTAAAACATATAATCAGTTCTATATCGCTAATAATAATTGGTAAAAAGTTATGAACTATTTTATGAAACATTGTATTCAAGTAACAATACAATAAAGATTATTGATTGCAAATTATACAATATAAGATTATTTAACAAACAAAGGAAAAAATAATTTTCACTTAATAGCTAATGACAGCTAATGCTTCTACTTCTGCTTGCTTATCGATGCTTCTGAAGTCGATGGTCTACGTAAAGAGCTTGAGTTATGTATATTATAGTGCCCAAGTGAATGCTCAAGCACAGATGCACTCTCTATTCCCTCACTTCCATAATCCGATGGAATGGTAAACCGACACGATCGGAGAGAGAACAGTCACAGGACCAACGGCTTTACGTGCTTTCCGAGACACGGGCCAACTTTTTGACTGGGGGAGGTATTGAGAAGTTCTAGACGGAAAAACTCAATAATTGATTTTTTGGTCCGACCCGGGATTCGAACGCAGGACCTCATGATCAGCAGTCGCACTACTAGACCCACGATGATGTACTATTATGTATATATCATAAACCATTTCATGAAGTGGCAGCATTTCGTGATATTTAACGTTCTTTTTAACCATATCATGATAAGGCTTGTCCAAATCAATGAATAGATATTATTTGACGATATTAATAACTAAAAACAACATTTCTATTTCGTGATATGATCATATCGTCAAAGATTTTCACTATCAGCGGCACTGATAGCGTATTGTTACACAGAAGCATTCTTAACAGCATCAAAACAACTTTATGCCTTATTTATACAATAAAAATGTTTTGAGCCACCGCAGTCACACCCCAACCTCCTATTGCTGATATTACTAGATATTATAGTTTTGGATTTCATTATTTCATCTTATAATGGCACCTAACCAGCACCATGTTTTATGCCGGCTGTACACGCTCGTCGAGACACCACGAGACAGGCCTAGAGGTGAGCGTTATTTAACATTGTTCTTAAAAACCTTTTGCGTTTTTTTAAATATTATAACATGTATAGTTTTCTTTGTGAATAAACATTTAAAGTGTATATAAATATATAGTGTACATAAATAGACATATAATTATTGTAAATAAATAATAAATATTTTTTGTATTAAGTAAATTTTTGTGTATTATGTGGATCATAAAAATTATGTGATGTGATGGACAATAATACTTAAACACTTACATATTTTGTGACTGTGTAAAATTGTACAAAGGTACTAATATTGACAATGTCGCGCACGTGTTATAATACCTATAACTTGTTAATATTTTCGTAGTCATAACATAACACAAACGCAAAACTAACCTACGCTATACTGTATACAGATGTAATTAATTACAAAAATAAGCAGTTTGAAACTAGTTACTCATATCCACAAAACTACGTACAACCGATTACGTCCAAAAGACGTTACAACCAATGTCTAGATAGGCCGAGTACGAGTGTGTACAGGATGCTCTCGTCGCGTCGCGTCGCGTCTCGTGGCCCTCGTGCGCTCTCGGAAGCGTGTCGGTTTTTTGCGCTCAAGTCAAAGGGTCTCGTAGGTATCGCGATGAAAACGATAGCGAATGATGATAATTAGCGTCCACTGCGCATGTATAATCAAGCAGAAAAATGCAAACTGTATTATGACATTTTAATATGTAAAAAGTCAAACGACGACATTATAACTACACATCAAAGTCTCCACGAAAACGCACTTTTATATAATCGTTAGGTTTTAATTGCTGCTAAATAATATTCTGTATTTTGTGTACACTTAATTAAAGAAGTAAAATATTTTGTATTTGTAATTTCCGTTTTGTCTCAAGACGATATACGTGATTCTATTGTAAATAACTTTTTTTGATGATAATGTATAAAGAAGTGTAATACATTGTTAGAAAGTTTATTAAATACAGTGTTTAATGATGTTATTGTTTTTATTAATTTCATTTAAAAGATATATGTACTTAAATTTATGAAGAAACATGTGTTTTTTCCGGGGCTAGTTGAAACTCTCTTTTTCCTTACATGATTACAGTCATCTTTCAATAGATCCTGCTAATTTTTACAAATCTCATAAAATATTTCATATTCTTAATACCGATGTCAATATTTAAGTCTTAAGTGCCAGTTTTATTGAATAATTATTTACTTTATATATATATACAACATGTAACATAATTAACGCACTTTGAGAAAGTAGTTTGTTCAGAATCGTTTACTGAATCGATTCCTATCATTTTTAATATAGGTAATTTTTTATCCCAAAAATAGTTAAAACTGCGTAAATTACAGTCACACTAAATCTGTACAGTCAAAACAAGCTGAAATGGACCGTAACTTAAGGCAATAAGACTTTTAAGAGTGCAGTTTTATTTGTATTATTATTAATTCTGTCATTCAATAAAAGTAAAGAAAACTGAACTTTATTTCAAGCACATTAAAAGTCTTTGCGTTCGTGGATTTGTACAGTGACCACAACATTCTTCCGGCTTCCGGAATTAGTATAACTAATTTGATTTTTTTTTAAATATTGTATAACAGGTAGTCGACACTTTCGATATCGATAGTACGCGCAGAGGCACACAAGGCGACGAGACGAGCGTGTTCAGCCGCCATGAGCTACATACATCTAGGGTTGCCAGGTCTTTAAACCGAAAAGCCGAACAGACCATCCAGCTTAGCCGGACATTTTGGTAAAAAGGCCAGACACCCTTAATTATTCAGTCTTAGTATAACACGATAATATATTTTTAAAGTAAAACAATGCTTATATAATTTACCATAAAATCTTAAATTAAAAGAATCACTGTTCTTTATTACTAATCATTCAATTTTCATTACAATATTAGTTTCAATAATTGCAATAGTATGTATTTAAGTACATGAAAAATGTAAAAAAATGGTCAAATATAAAAAGCCTGATAGGCCCGGACACCATCTAATTTGGCCGGACACGCAAACAAAAAGCCTGACTGTGTCCGGCTTTATCCGGACGCCTGGCAACGCTACATACATCCGTATATAATACAGTATAGCGTAAGTTAGTTTTGCTTTTATGTTAGGTTATGATTAGGAAAATATTAACAGGTTATAGGTATTATAACATTAGTTTAACTGTGTTATGTTATGATTACGAATATATAACAGTTTATAGATATTATAATATGCGCGCGACATTGTCAATATTAGTACTTTTGTAAAATTTTATAGTCACAAAATATGTAATTACCTAAGTGTTATTGTCCATCACATCATCACATAATTTTTATGATCCACATCTTGCGTGTAAGCCATTACCTATCCCGAAGGGACTCTTTACTCTCATTGTGCGAGTTGTATATCGTATTACGTACCTATATTCATCTGTTCAAAACGAAACGCTTATGCGAGCGCCGGTTATTGTGTGTGTCAACTGCGTACGTAAAATAATCGTTACAATTTGACCACGAAACTGGATATACGATTATCAGGCTCGTAAGCAGTTTCTGAAACCGATTATGTTTAATAACGCTCACCTCTAGGCCTGTCTCGTGGTGTCTCGACGAGCGTGTACAGCCGGCATTAAATAAACTAATGATAAAATTAAAATTAAAGAATGCTACTAAATACTTACTCGTTTAGAATCAAAACATTAAATACCCAGACCATTTGACATTATCGGGATGATTTCCGCAATTACCATGTTTGGATAAATGACTAACGAGAATGTTACATTCGATACTGTATATTTGTGTTATGTGTGAACAGTATCCAGTGCTGTGTACATAAAACTGAGATTGAGAGATAAGCTATTTAGTTGAATATGGGCGTCTATCACGCCTAACTTTAATTTTACCAACTTCATTTGTTGTCATCTGATGTAATTAAATTGTCTAACTACTACCTAGTAATTTGCCTAGATATTGTCAACACAAACAAAAGTTTTGTTGCAGTTTTATGAATATATTTTAAACAAATAAGAGAGCCGTGTAGTTTGTGAGAAGTCGAGAGATTTCATCATGGCACGGGAGCAAAATTGATTAATTCCAAAGTTTTAAGGACCAAGAATCTCTAAACTTCCACATGCGTCCTCTCTAGCTAACCAGGGTGTCAGATTTACTCTCTTTAGCGTTTTTCGTTTCTCGATTTCAATCATTATTTTTTGCCAGCTTTGTGTCGAACTTATATAAAAAAATTTTGAAACAACACGAAGAAACGACAAGTTTTTGTGAAACGTTCAGCAGTCGCAGTTGCCACTGAATTTCAAGAGTGGGTAGAGAAAGGAATAAAAAACCGCTTTCATGTCCGAGATAATGGCAGAAAATATGTTTTCATCTATCTTTTTAAAATTTTAATTTCAGTGAGACATGAAAAAAATTTTATCCCCATAATTTGCCACCCCAAAAATCTGCCACCCTAGGCTCCAGCCTACTGAGCCTGCTGGTAAATCCGCCACCACGAAATTTTGAAGTCTACTCGAACGTAAAAAAATATCAGCATCTATTTTATGGTGCCAATCAATATTGAATGAGACCAATGATATGAATCAAATGAAATATCAATAATACACTGTATCATAAATTGAGAGAAAACCATAAAATTCATCAATATTTTGTTAGAACTAAATCAACTTTAAGAATGAATGATAAGAGTAAAATGTAGATAATAAATTTTGATTCTAAGACAATTTA